GTGCCTGTGGGGGGGAATTTGTGGGTCTCTGGGATGAGACTGGGGTGGGTGCCTGCCTGCCTTCCCTCCCCTTGTCCCTTCCTTCCTTCTTTTCTTCCTTTCCTTCACCTCCCTTAGTCTCTTCCTCCTTCCCTCCCTCTCTCCCATTATCCCTTCCTTCCTTTTTTCCTTCCTTTCCTTCACCTCCTTCTTAGTCTCTTCCTCCTTCCCTCCCTCTCTCCCCTTGTCCCTTCCTTCCTCCCCCCTCCGTGCCCAGGAAGGGACAAGGAGAGGGGGATAGGCTGCCAGCGTGGCTGGGGGCTTTGCTGCCGGCAAACCTGCCTGTGCACAGGCAGAGACAGAAGAGAGCTCCACCCAGCTCACTTGCTCAGCTTCCCCAAAAGACATGCTGCTTGCTAAGTTAGCAGAAGCTCCAGGATCAGTGCCGGGCTACAGCTAATTTGCGCTTTTGCTAAATTAGCAAGTGGCTTGCTTTCTAGTGAGCAAGTTTGCTGGGCAGGAGCCAAGGAGAGCAGCTACAGCTGCAGAAGCGCGGATCAGCTGTAGATGCTCGCCCTGATCCTGGACAAGAGGGAAGGAAGGATGAAAGGATGGAAGGATGGAAGGAAGGAAAGGACAAGGAGGAGAGGGAGGGAAGGAGGCACAAAGAGGGAGGCAAAGGAAAGGAAAGAAGGAAGGAAGGAAGGAAGGGACAAGGTGGAGAGGGAGGGAAGGAGGGACAAAGAGGGAGGCGAAGGAAAGGAAGGAAGGAAGGGACAATGGGAGAGGGAGGGAAGAACGAAGAGACCAAGAGGGAGGGAAGGAAAGGAAGTTCCAGCCAGGAAAGGCTTGCCAGCCCGGCTGCTGAGGAACAGAAGAGCGCAAAGCCAAGGAGAAGAAGGTGGCGGTTCCCTCCCAAAGGGGGCTCCTTTTCTCCACCCCTTCCCTAGGTTTGTGGGGAATTTCTCATCACCAATGCTGACAGGTGCTTCTTCGAGCCCGCCGCGAGCTTTCTCGCCCCCTTTGCTTCTCCCCCCTTCCCCCACTTTCGTGAGGATTGTGGTGCCCTTGGGAAGCCGATCGTGCTTTGAAGCTTAGGAGAGGAGGAAGAGTCCCTTCCTCCTTCCCTCCCTCTTGCATCAGCTAGCGCAAGTTTGGGCGGTCGCCAGCTGATGGGCGCAGGAGTTAGGTGCTGCGGCGGGCTCCCCTTCGCTGACCTGCATGCACGAGAAGAAGTCAATCCGTTTGCTGCACAATGAGTCTCTGGGGAGGGCGGGGCCTTGCTCTGCACCTGCTCTCTTCATGTGCCCCCTGCAGGGCACATTTGGTAGAGTTCATGCAGACTGCCGCCAAGCAGCATATTTTCCACAAACAAGTGAGGTGGAGCAGGGGGGGGGAGGGAGAGAAGGCGGTTGACAAGCCCTGCCTACGACCATTGGAAATAGGTGTTTTCCGATGGTCTTAGACGACCCTTGTGAAAGGCTTGTGCGACCCCCAAAAGGTTGAGAACCACTGGACTAGACAAATGTATTAACCGACCCACAGGTTGAGAACCACTGGACTAGACAAATGTATTAACCTCACCATCAACCAGGGAAAAATATTGAAAGCTGAAGGAATCAAGATGCCCTGTGAAAATAATTTGTTGTTGTTGTTAATTGCGAAATCGTGTCCGACCCATCGCGACCCCATGGACAACATTCCTCCAGGTCTTCCTGTCCTCTACCATCTTCTGGAGTCCATTTAAATTTACACCTACTGCTTCAGTGACTCCATCCAGCCATCTCATTCTCTGTCGTCCCCTTCTTCTACTGCCCTCAATCTTTCCCAGCATTAGGTTCTTCTCCAGTGAATCCTTCCTTCTCATTAGGTGGCCAAAGTACTTGAGTTTCAACTTCAGGATCTGGCCTTCTAAAGAGCAGTCGGGGTTGATCTCTTCTAGGACTGACCGGTTTGAACGCCTTGCAGTCCAAGGGACTCGCAGGAGTCTTCTCCAGCACCATAGTTCAAAGGCCTCAATTCTTTGGCGCTCAGCCTTTCTTATGGTCCAACTTTCACAGCCATACATTGCAACTGGGAAAACCATGGCCTGGACTATACGCACTTTTGTTGGCAGGGTGATGTCTCTGCTTTTTAGTATGCTGTCTAGATTTGCCATAGCTTTCCTCCCCAGGAGCAAGCGTCTTTTAATTTCTTGGCTGCAGTCCCCATCTGAGGTGATCTTTGAGCCCAGAAAAATAAAATCTGTCACTACCTCCATTTCTTCCCCATCTATTTGCCAGGAATTGAGAGGGCCGGATGCCATGATTTTGGTTTTCTTAATGTTGAGTTTAAAGCCAACTTTTGCACTCTCCTTCTTCATCGTATCAAGAGGCTCTTTAGTTCCTCTTCACTTTTAGTTAATAATTTAGTTCATGATAAATTTTTATTTTCACTTCTGCTTCTACTTCTGCATAACAGTTGCTGCAATTCCTCTCAGATAAAGATCCCAATGTAAACAAACAGGCAGAACACCAGTTCTCCCATGGATGGTGCAGGAACTACACGTCAGAACAGTTCTGTGCTAAACTGCATAGATTGATCAATTTGGCACAATAGTCAGTTAGGCTAAGCTAGATTGAAATTCACACTACCTGGATATCAGAATTAGTCCTGGTTTTGAATTATGAAGGAACACACTTTTTAAAAATACTCTGGATGTTGAACAATATTCATGGGGGGGGGGGGAATCAGAGAATAAGCCCTATGATGGGATTTACGGTCAACACAAGCTTTATAATGGTGATCTACACATGAAGCTAATTCTTCATATTTGCAAATGTTGTGCTTTGTATAATTTTATATATGCATCCACAAATATGGGCATGAATTGATCCAGCTGTGCATTTCAACAAGCAATGTGTCCCATAAGCTCTGTCCTTTGGGATATGTGTATAATCTGACAAACCACTTATAAAACAGATGGTGCTCTTGTTAGCCTGGCCAATTTGACTCACCCCGTTCTTGCAAATATTGCATATACATTTATGCGTGTCCATATACAGTATGTACTTGTATATACATCCATGCATGGATGTATGTGTGTCTGTCTTCATTTATTTATGCCACCTAAGGGAAAAAGTACACAGCAGACAGAGTTTCATCTGCTCTTCTTTCTTGAAGGTGATGAGAGACTGCCAAAAGGAAATTGGGTCTTTCTTGTCATCATAAACAATGAAGAGACCTGGCTATTGCAAGATTAGAACAGCTGTACTTCATAACACCTGAGACTTCTGGTTCTTGTGAGATTTGGCAATAAAAGCTAGGAAGAAAAATCAGCTTACTATCAACAGGCAGGCAGACCTATCATAACACACATCTAGTTATCTCAGGCTTTGGCTCTTTGCTCTTTTAAAGATTGTTTAGAACTTTTTTCCACTAGGTTTTTTTATCTTCCTGGATGTAAGTGCTCTTTAGCTTAAAGATAGATCTTTTAAATACAGTTCTTTAATGTCTATGTAAAGCTTCTGGGTGAAATCCATGGGAATTGGGATTCAGTGCCACCAGTATGCTGATGACATTCAGCTCTTTTTCTGTCTTTCACCAGAGTTAGGTATGATGGTGGCGTTGAATCAATATTTGAATCCTGTAATGGGAGCAAATGGACTCCAGAAGATGGTAGAGGACAGGAAGACCTGGAGGAACGTTGTCCATGGGGTCGCGATGGGTCGGACACGACTTCGCAATTAACAACAACAATGGGAGCAAGGGAATCCAATAAACTTTAGCCTCACCTGAGAAGTGAAAGTCCTGTGAATTGGTAATCCCTGGATCCAGAAATGGGTATCTCTAATGCTAATGGGACTGCCTTTCTTTAAAAGGGCAAGCACAATGCCTGATATAGACAAATGCACCTGGTTCTGCAGCTGCAGCTTTTCCTCACAACAGCTGGCTCGACCACACAAATCCACTCTTTGATAAATTTCTGGTAGCTAATGGTGATTGTGGTACTAAACTGATATAAGAAATACTCATTCAGAAACTGTAATAACAGTCCTAGAAAGGATAACAATGGCTGCAAGTTTGTTTGTTTTTAATAACATCTCCCATATGTTCTTCTTGGCCAATTCAACTTGATATGCATGCTTTCAGCTTGTACCATACTATCTGAAGAAGCATTCCAGCTGAATTGACAGACTGGTCCTTTTGTAAAATGGAACAGAAAGGACGATAATATAGTTACACCTCAGGTGTACGGGTCTCCATTTGGCTAATCTTGATGCAAGAGATAAAATATGAGTGTGGAGTTCACCCCCAAATAATGGCAAAGTCCACGGTTATGGATGCAGTCTGGAGAATTGACATACTTGGTGGCACTTATATCATTTATGTTTTACATTTCCTTAAAAAAAATATATGGGTTTAACATTTTATAGAGATCAATCATTTCTTGCTTTGGCAAATATATTAATTTTGCCTGTTCTAAAGATGTATCAGATAAAAGTAGTTCCAATTAACAATAATGTTTGCAGTCAGAAGGTGTTTTTCTTTGTAGATTAATCCATGCCATCTTGGGCTGCTTATAAATCTAAATTTATATCTATTTACATCATTTGCTTAATTACATCATTTGTTAAGCAATGGCATAAATTGTCACTGATGATGTAAATCAAATAATGATGCAAATGGTATGTTATGCCATTATGTAAATTCAGACTTAACCAATATTCGTGTCTGATACCTCTTTCTTCCCAAATGGTCTGTTAAATCAAGATTTCATCACATTTCATTTCCATCTTGTTCTTTTTTTGTGGTACTATTTTATATAATTATGGCAACATGCTCTGGATGGGTAGGTTTGGATTTACTTGTTTATTTAATTTGGGGATTCTGCTTGGAGCAAGTTTTTCAAAATCGAATGGAAATGAATAAATAACCTTAAGTGCTGCTTGTTACTTAAGCAAATAAAGCTGTTGTGTGGAAACACATTACGTTCTAAGCTATAATCTATCAGAAAAATGAAAACAAATAGTAATAATAACATGAATTAAAAAAAAACCTCACCTCATTCACTGTGACATAGTACTGTTCTTGCTGGAACTTGGGAGAATTATCGTTTCTATCCCTCACCACGATCCGAACTTCATGATTGATAATAGTTCCTACTTTTCGATTAATGCACTGGACTTGGACTACAATAGATTGAATTGACACTGGAGGCTGTAAAGGAGAGAAAAAAATAAAACTATAAGTACGATAAAGTATTTTCCAAGTATGGATACCTATGGTGGGATGCAATCCTCTTAATTCCATCATGAGGAATAAAGCTAATTTAGTTCATTGGGCTTCATTCAGTATATTTATAGGTAGTCCTCGACTTAAGTCAACAATTAAGCCCAAAAAGTCTGTTGCTAAGCGAGACATTGATTGAGTTTTGCCCCATTTTACGACCTTTCTTGTCAGTTGTTAAGTGAATCAATGCAGGTGTTAGTAACATGGTTGTTAAGTGAATCTGGTTTCCCCACTGACTTTGCCTGTCAGAAAGTTGCAAAGGGGGATCACATGACCCTAGGACATAAATATGAGTCAGTCGCCAAGTGTCTGAATTTTGATCACAAGACCATGGGGATGCTGCAATGGTCATAAGTGTGGAAAATGGTCATAAATAGCTTTTTTAATACTGTAATAACTGCAAACGGTCACTAGAAGAACAGTTGTAAGTTGAGAACTATCTGTAATTAGTCCATAAAAGTTGCACGATATCTGGTCATGAATGTCAGTATATCTCAGATGTAAGTATTGTAGTGCAACTGATATTATATACCTATACAATATATTTTAATATAAGGCAATCGCTACAATAGTTCAGAAGCTTTAGGCTAAATCCAGATAAATGTCATGATCACATTTTGCCTTTAACTAATTGTCAAATAGTAAATTCAAATACAACAGGTCTGCTTTTAAAAAATATAAGTGAGATCAATCTGTCTTCTGTTTCATCAAACATTAATTGTATTAGAACAAGGCTTTTCAACCAGTGTTACAGGTACCACCTGTGGTATATTGGCACCTGGCAGGTGGTACGGGACCATCCTAGAAAAGTGGTAGCAGGGGAGGGGAATGAGCTGAATTGGTGGCAGCACCACACAAGCCTGAGCAAGAGATGGCTGGAGCTGCAGGACTGTCAGGGCACAGTGGAAGCACCAGGATCAGCGTCAGGCTCCAGCTGATCCTGGTGCTTCTACTGAGCCCAGAAGAAGTGCCAATCAGCTGGAATGTTGCAGCATCTCCAGGGTCTTGTGATTTACATTCAGATGCTTGGCAACTGATTCATATTTATGATGGTCACAGTGTCCCAGGGTCATGTGAAGTGACGAAAACCTGCTGCAACCACCCAGCAGACGGGGGAATAAAAAACAAACACCCCCCACCCCCGCTGCCAATCCTCAACAGAAATGCTCAGAACAATGAAAACCTTGGTCAGGAGGAAGAGCACTGCCGGGTGGGCAGGCAGGTTTCTTGCCCCGCTGTGGCTTGGGGGGCACTTTTTTCAGTGCCACTGTAACTTTGAACAGTTACTAGGTGAACTGTTGTAAGTCGACTACCTGTACTTCATTATTTTTTTCCTTTTTTTATGGGTCATCAAGTTTTTGACACCTTGCTAGGCAACTGGTGGTACTCGGATATTGCCATATCCTAAAAGTGGTACAATGGGTGAAAAGGTTGAAAAGCCCTGTATTAGAAGGCAAACTTATCTTACATCCACTAATGCTTAATATTATAGGAATTAAAGGGAGGGAAAACTAAGCAGAGTAAGACCTGATTATTATTTGAATAGGACATTTTGGGAAAGCCCAAGATTGTAGGCTAGGCTGAAAAATTGGGAGAAGGAAAGCATACCAGAAGGTTGCTGAACCCAAAACGGTATTTATCTTTCACTAGATCATATGAAGTAATGAATGCCAGTTATCGTAACCATGGGGATACTACAATGGTCATTAAGTGTGAAAAATGGTAATGTCACTGTTTTCAATGCTGTTGTAACTTCAGATGCTCTCTAAACAAATGGTTGTAAGTCAAGGATTACTTGTTTGTATTGTTTATATTGTTTGTGTGGATATATTACAGTACTTAACAAATCATGGCTTCAAGAGATTGGGTGTGTGTGTTAAAAAGAAAGTAAATTTTAGTGTAAAGCAACAAATAGAGTAGATTAGATCAGGACTTCCTATTACATATGAATAAAGAGAGTGTGGTGCTAAGGAACAAACCACGTCAGTTTTTTCTTAAACTTTACAAAACTTAAGTTTCTCTATGACAGAAATGCAGATGATACCACTCTAATGGCAGAAAGTGAAGAGGAACTAAAGAGCCTCTTGATGCGGGTGAAGAAGGAGAGTGCAAAAGTAGGCTTGAAACTCAACATTAAGAAAACCAAAATCATGGCATCCGGCCCTCTCAATTCCTGGCAAATAGATGGGGAAGAAATGGAGGTAGTGACAGATTTTATTTTTCTGGGCTCCAAGATCACCTCAGATGGGACTGCAGCCAAGAAATTAAAAGACGCTTGCTCCTGGGGAGGAAAGCTATGGCAAATCTAGACAGCATTCTAAAAAGCAGAGACATCACCCTGCCAACAAAGTGCGTATAGTCCAGGCCATGGTTTTCCCAGTTGCAATGTATGGCTGTGAAAGTTGGACCATAAGAAAGGCTGAGCGCAAAAGAATTGAGGCCTTTGAACTATGGTGCTGGAGAAGACTCCTGCGAGTCCCTTGGACTGCAAGGCGTTCCAACCGGTCAGTCCTAGAAGAGATCAACCCCGACTGCTCTTTAGAAGGCCAGATCCTGAAGTTGAAACTCAAGTACTTTGGCCACCTAATGAGAAGGAAGGATTCACTGGAGAAGAGCCTAATGTTGGGAAAGATTGAGGGCAATAGAAAAAGGGGACGACAGAGAATGAAATGGCTGGATGGAGTCACTGAAGCAGTAGGTGTGAATTTAAATGGACTCCAGAAGATGGTAGAGGACAGGAAGACCTGGAGGAACATTGTCCATGGGGTCGCGATGGGTCGGACACGACTTCGCAATTAACAACAACAACAACAACAATGACAGAAATGCTATCACATAAAAAGCTGAAATTGTGGCAAGGAAAAAAAAATGGGCCCTGGTGAATCATTTGGTGAAAGTGCTGAAATGTTAAGCATTAGAGTGTTAAAGTACACAAAATAGATTGACCATGTAAAAATAAGTTTTAAAGCTAATTATGGATGGCTTTGGTAATTTTATAAATGGAGTGCAATCATTAACAAACACTTTGTCAACAAACCTTTAAATATGGAGGAGCAATGGAAGAGATACTCCCTTACAGGAAAAGCATAAACAAACTCATCAATGATGAAGGCATCAAACTGTCAAAATTTACAATGCAAAAGAGAGTGGTTTGTTTGAACATTGAGTTCTCAAGAACATTCAGGCATTTAGATGTAAAAAACCCAACAGGATGTAGATAGGCATGAAATGGATCCCATTGTTACTTTGTGCAAATGCCACTGCATTGCATAGATTAATGTCAGTCATTGTTGGCAAGTCACATTTAACATTCAGAACTGTTAAAAGCATTACGCATCAACTGCCTGCATGGATTCACAAACAATATGGTCTGTGTCAACACTTTTTTCAGGAACAGCTCTTCAATCACTTTGTTCCAGAAGTCAGAAGACTTCTAAATGAGATACTAAAAATATCAAGTGAAACACCATGGTTTTTCTTAGTTGGGGGGGGGGGAATAATCTGTGTTTTTTCCCCCAAAAGACAGTATAGCCCAGGAGTATGCAACCTTGGCTCTTTTATGACTCATGGACTTCAACTCTCAGAATTCCTGAGCCAGCCATGCTTACCCCTGGTATAACCATTTGGTAAAGCTATTTTACTAAGTTAAAGATTTTTTTTTCCTTGAGGAAATGAATCTGATAAAGAAAGTGACATAAGATGGCCTTAAAAACTTTAGAATCTATAAGTTAAAATCATCAATCTTCATTTTTGCTACAACTTGGAAACCAGTCAAAAGTATAGTACTGCAGCTGGTTAGCAAAATTGCTTTACAACAATAGCATGGACTTATAATTTATTGATATTAGGCCACACAACTCAAACTGTTACTTGGGGAAGTATACAGCATTAAAACAAACAAACAATAACCCCCCCCCAAAAAATAAAAATCCATCCCCAGATCATATACTGCAACATTCAGCATATACAATATATGTATACATTATATACAACATAGACAATGCATGAATGTAAAGTGTAAAATGTAAAAGAAATTTGAAGTCAGTTATTACTATAGCATCGTTGAGAAAACTAGCAAAGAGATAGCAGATGAAGAAACATCTTGCAGTTGCTAAAGGAAGATGGTTCCATGTTTTGACAGAAAGTGAGATAGCTTTTGTTGGAAATTGAAAACAAAGAAGGTAGGTAAGTAGGTAGGTAGGTAAGTAGATAGATAGATCGATAGATCCATGTTTTGACAGAGAAATAGCTAGTTTCCAGTTCCGGATCGCAGCGCTGGCAGGTGTGTAAAGAGAGCGTTCTCTCCATCGCCCGGTTTCCCTTCATCGGGCGACCCTGAAAATGGTTGTAAGTTGCCTTGGAGGGGCAATAACCATGAGGAGGACCCTCAATAGATCGTGGAAGGGCAGCAGCCCTTCCAATTGATCCGAGGCAGCTCCTTTGGACCATCAGAAGAAAGATCGGCCATCAACATGCCTGCCTGCCAAAAGCCAAAATTACCACTAAGCACAATGAAAGCACCATGGAGGATTTGGGTGAGACTCTTCTTTCCCTTTCTCTTACCCCAACTACCTTCCTGTGAAAGTCTCCTGAAATTTCTTTCCCGCTTCTAACACAGTGGTTACTTTGGGAAATTAAGCTTTGGAAAAAAAGAACAACTAATCTAAATAACTAAATAACTGGATTTGTATTTTTTGGATGCTTTGGGGTCCCCAAAAGTTCCTATTACAGGGATATATCATCTCATCTATTTGTTAACTTGGAATTTTTTTTTAAATTGGATAAAAGTTTAACCGGTATCTGGAAAAAGATTTTATAGTCTTTCGGGGACACCTTGTGATGAAGCCTGGTACAGCAATTGAATTTGTTTTTGACTGTGAGGCCTGTTTATCCTTTAGAATTGGTCTTCACACTATCTAAAAAAGATA